AGTGTACTGAAAACCAGCGATCGCATGCAAACGTGTAAAACATTTAACACTCTCGTACAGGAGTTTGGGCGGTGGAAAATTTTGTTCATCTAAATTCTTATATTTTGAGTCTCTGTCATACTTTGTAAGAATTTCTTTCCATGCTTGTTTGATTCGATAATAAACACCCTTATCCAATGGTTGTAGAGTATGTGAAGAGTGCTCTGGTAGACAAATCAAGATTATATTGTGTTTTTTGCACAGTAATACCGCTTTCAAAGTTATGTGAGTTGTATGCCCATCTAATACTAAAATATGAATACCACCAATTTGCTCAGTTTTGGGTATAAATACTTCTTTCAACCATTTAATAAACGTATCGTGCTCCATCCATCTTAATTTTGAAATTGAATATTTGGTGCCAACTGGACCACCTTTTGTCCAATCAGGACAAAAGTTTGTATATCACAAATGGTGCCCATCAGCGTTGCAGCAATTATTTACAGTATGATGAATTTTTTCATTGTTGCCAGTAAGTTTATTTTGGTTTTGTATATCACAATAGTGGTGCAAAATGCTTATCAGCGTGGCAGTAGTTGTTTAAAGTATAATAAATTTTTTCATTGTTGTTAGTAAGTTTAAATGCACGTCTTGTGTCTTTTTGACGCACTACAGTTGCCTTGCCTTGATCAACCAAAAAACATGTTTCATCACAAATCTAAATATGCGACCCAGAAGTTATACAAGTCTGTTGATATTGCTTCGCAAAGCATTTAAATAACAATCAACTATTTCTGGCGTACAAGAAGCGACTCTTTTAGATGCTAAGTTATCCGCTTTTCTTATTGAAATTTCTTTTGATTTTCTCTTTATAAAGGCATAAAACCAGTCTTTACCAGGCTTGCCATTTTTGAATAAGTGCAATTGAGCTTTCCGTTCAAGGTAGCCACATACAAATTCTAGGATTTCATTTCGGGTTAAACCATAACCCCAGTAACCAAGTAATTAGAACGTATGCACCATCAATCTTTCTGTTTCGTTTTTCACCACCAATCTTTCTGTTTCTGTTACCGTTGTTGTACCTGAGCCATGGAAGCGTTTATTGTTGTTATTTTTGCGATCTTTGAGCGTTGAGACAAGAACGCCACGTTTGAATGCAGCTTTTCTCAATGATGTTTTATTTTCTTTTATATCAGTAAATGCGGCTAGTAAACCGTCTTCCTTGTATGCTTTTGTTTTTTTAGTTGACATGTTAAAGTGAGTGAGTTAAATTTAATTGAGAAATAATATAATAATTGGTTTCTAATAAGTAAGAGATGATTATAATAACAAATAACATTATAATTCATTTTTAATTAAACCGGAATCAATACTACGGTTATAATATAGAATAAATAGTTATTAAATAAATATATAAATATTTTATAAATTTATTTATAAATAGTTATAAAGATAGGCGTTTAGCCACTTGTGAAAAACTAAACTAAGGGGGCATCCATAAGTACGTTCGCAGTAAAACCAGTGATTCAGGACTCCCCTCCTCCTCCCTTTTTGTACGAACCTGTACTCTTTCGAAGACCTCTCCCACCCCTCCGCGTACGTAAGCATTATTATTTTTTTTTTTCAAAATTAACTCGACTTTTTTTTTTTTCCTTATTTAGTTTTTGTAACGTTAACTTTGAAATTAAAATTTAAATACGATAGTTTTACACCAAGGCCGACGCCGGGGAAGGAGGAGTAGGGTGGGGGTTGGGGGGCTGGGAGGTACACTCTCCCCCCACCCCTCACACACACACACACTATTTTTCTACTTAACTTTATTTTTTTTGGAAAATTCAGGATAAAGAGGGCTTTTTTTAAAAATTGACTATTGTGCCTCCCCCCCCCCCCTCCACTTGAAAACCCGTGTCGTCGGCCGTGTACTGTCTTTCATCTATAATGACTCATCAGAAATTTCATTTCTGATTGGCCTTTATGGATAAAAAAAAGGGTAAATGAAAAAAATTTGATAAGTAGTTTTCTACTTATTTATTTTGCTCTGTTCTTTTAAGAACATTGAGTACCTTATTTTTTAGAATTTATATATACGTATATATATATAATATATATATATATATATATATATATATATATATATATATATATATATATATATATATATATATATATATATATATATATATATATATATATATATATATATACGTATATACATATGCGAATAATTTTAAACACATTTACAAAATAGGGTGCTGTTCTTAAAAGAAAATAGAGCCAAAATAAATTATTCGCATATAGGGGAAAGCGGGGCAATATGGCGAACTTTTTGAAAGCCCTGAGTTATTGGAAAATCAGTCGCGAATCAATAATCCTTTCTCAGTATGTTTATGTTATTAAAAAGATTCATTTTCCTGTATGAGTTTTCAGTTTTAAAATATAACAATTTGAAATAAATATTAAAATAAAAAGTTCAAAAAATTTGTCATCTGGTCAAGTGACCGGGGCAAGATGAGTTATTTTGCAATTTTTGCCTCCATTTTTATAAAATTTCAAAAACTACTAATAACTCTAACTAAAGTAACACAAAATAAACACAAGTCGAAAAAAACTATTTCTAAAGAAATTAAACTTGAAGGACACTATTCATTATAAGAAACCGAAACTGAGTAATTTTTTTTTAAGCGCGTAAAGTAAACTTATGCGTATAAAATTGCGTTAATAAAATTTAAAAAAACCAATTGGTGTTTTAAAATACAAGATGCAAATAAGATTTATTTTATGTTTATAATTTACAGACTAAATTACTGTTTCTAATCTATGTGAATGACATATACCGTTCCTCAGATATGCTTAACTTTATCCTTTTCGCAGATGATACTACTATTTTTTACTCCGACTCCAATATTAAAACAAATTTACCATAGTAAATCGTGAGCTGACAAACCTGGAGGATTGGCTCAAAGCAAACAAACTCTCTTTAAATATTAGTAAAACTAAATAAGTTTTATTTCATAAGCCATCTAAGTCAGATAGTTTGCCTCTTCAACTTCCTCAGTTGGTCATAAACAGAATTATTGTAAAAAGAGTTGTGTCAATGAAAATCCCGGGAGTAATATTTGATGAACATCTTAAATTAAAAATTCATATTACACTCGTTGAAAACAAAATTTTTAGGCATTATGTATAAAACAAAACACCTACTAAGTAAAAAATGCTTAAAAGATATATACTACTCTTTTATTCATAGTTACATTAGCTACTGTAACATTGCTTGAGCCAGTACTTGTTCATCAGCATTAAAGAAAATATATATAAAACAAAAATAAGCCAGTAGAGTTATATGTAATATGCATAAATGTGCCCACACCAAACCGTTACTCCTTGAAATCAAAGCTTTAAACGTCTTTGAGTTAAATTTGTACCAAAACCTATTATTTATGTTTAAATATCAAAACGACATGCTTCCTAAATTCTTTAACAATCATTTTTCAGTTATTTCTCATAAATACTTAACGAGGTGCTCTATTCACAATTTTAACTTACCTAAGTCAACATTAAAAAAAACAGATTACTTAATTTCATATAGAGGACCTCGTCTATGGAACAGAATTCTTGACGACAAAATGAAAAGTATAACCTCAATACAATCTTTTAAAAATGTAGTTAAACAGATTTTGCTCGACTTAACAGATATAAACATACTTTATATTTTTAGTTTTAAAATTTAAATTTTTTTTTTTTTTTTTTTTTTTACTTTACTTTTGAAGTATTTTTATCTTATTACAATAAAGTTTATATTTATTTGGTTTATATAATGAGTATTTGTATATAATTAGATAATGACACAAAAAAAAAAAAAAAAGAGAGAAGGGGGAAAAAAAAAAAAAATGCAAATAATTATTATATATATTTTATTTCTATATTTTACTTTAGAAGTCTTATTATAGTATAGCTATTTTTAACTTGCTATATAATATTTTTTTGTTGAAAAAACTTGTAAAGCTAATCTTTAAAATTTCTTTACTTTATTTATTTAATTTAGCAAATTTTATTTTATTATTGTTATTTTAACTTGCTTTATATAGTGAATATAATTTATTATATTTTATATATTATGGATACTTTGTAAAAAATATATCACGCAAATTGTAGGGGCTTGACGACAAGACTTATGTCTTCTACTTGCTCCTGTCATTCTTTATATTTTGATTTATTTTATTAAACTTGGAAACGAGAACATTGTAAAATGCTTATATATGACGCATTAAATAAATAAAAAAGTATATATCCAGACCATAGTCCTATATCCATAGTTTAGTCCTAATCCATAATTTAGTCTTAATCTATAATTTAGTTTAATTAATATTGGTATTGGGAATTTAGTCGGCTAGTTGGGAATCCCCCACACACACCCGTAAAATCGCCTCTGTATGTAGATTTGTCGTTGGTTGCATTATTAAAACAAAAACTTAAGTAAACTAATAAAGTTATTTCAATTAATGTTTATTTTTTATTATTTTTATTATTTTTTTCTATCTATTTATTTAACCATAAAAACATGAAATTTACAACCTTAAGTAAAAAAATTAACTTAGTAAGGTTAGGTTGTTTACATAACATTTATATTATGTAGTAGAATTTTACAGATTCTACTACATAATATAAAATTTAACAAAATAAGTAAAACAGATAGGGACTCAAAGAAGATGAGGATGACAGAACGTCATCGCAATCTTTTCATAGAACCCCTTTAACAAGATTTAATTAAAATATCGTAATATGACATACAAAATAAAAATGTCAATAAAATATCATAACAAAATGCGTAATCCGCTAATAAAAATTGTCAAGCAACAAACAAAAGTAGAAACAAAACAAAAACTTATTTAAGAGAATTTATCCAAAGCATTATTAACAAAAAATGTTTCACCGGTTTTAAAGATTTCTTTTTTTGTTAAAAACTTGAATGAACTTAACGAACTCACCGTACCTTTGAACTCTTTCTGAAAAATATTCCATACCTTTGGACCTCTGTATAAAATGCTGTATTTTGAATATTTATTTATTATCCTTGGCAGTTTATATGTGTTCAACATATTCGCTCTAAGATTCTAGTTATCACTTTTATTTAACTCAAACTTATTATTAAAGCTTATAGGAGAGATATTGTGATTGTCACGATACATGAAAATTAAATGCTGGTAGATATTTATTTCAAATACATTGATCATTTTCATATCTTTCATCAAGGGATTAGCGTGTTCCCGCCTATTTTTAAAGTAAATGATTCTACATGCATGTTTCTAAAAACTATAAAGTTTCTTAAGCTTTGCTGTTTGAGTACTTGCCCATGAAATGTTTGCATAGCTGACGAGGCTGTGAATTAGCCCAAAGTAGATTAATTTAAGACTATTTGTATTAATGTACGAGCGAACTCGATACATTAAACCTATGATTTTGGTAATTTTTGACTGGATATATATTATATGAGGAAGCCAGGATAATTTTTCATCAACAACGATTCCGAAAAATCTTATATTGGATTGCTTTTTAATTAATTTATCATTTATAAATAGGTTCGGCAACTTGAGAGGAAGATTTTCTTCTTGTGTTTTTTTATGAAAAAGTATATAGTTTGTCTTCTCGGTATTAAGTGAGAGTTTGTTAGCCTTAAACCAGTTATTTACTTTATTTAGTTCAATATTCATGTCCGCATATAATTTCTTGATATCGTTGTTAGTAAGAAATAAATTCGTGTCATCTGCAAACATGACTGAATTGAGTTTTAAGGATGCATTACAGAAGTCATTTATATATATTAAAAAAAGAAGTGGACCAAGAATCGATCCTTGCGAAACTCCACATACGACATTTAACACTCCAGATTGGGCATTATTTACATATTGTTTTCTGTTTGTAAGATAGCTTTTAATCCAATAATAAGTTTTATTAACTATTCCGTAATGTCTTAATTTATCTAAGAGAATACAGTGGTCCACTGTATCAAATGCTTTTGATAAATCAAGAAATAATCCTAAAGTAAATTTATTATTTTCAAAACCATTAGTTATTTGATTTACTATTTCAATGATTGCATGTTCAGTAGAGAGATTTTTTTGAAAACCAAACTGATTTGGGTAAAAAAAAATTGTTTTTAATGAAGTAATCATAGATTCTATTATAAACTACACGTTCGAATAGTTTTGAAAATACAGAAAGTACTGATATACGCCTGTAGTTTGTAATATCAGAATGATCATTACATTTGTACATTGGAGTTACTTTTGCTAATTTAAGTACATCCGGAAATATCCCAGAATTTAACGAAAGCTTTAGTATATGTATTAGAGGTCTTTTAAGACTGTGTTTGTTTGCAATAACTATATTACTAGATATCTCATCAAATCCCGGAGCCTTTTTTTTTTTAACGAGGAAAAAGCTGCCTCAAATTCCTCTTAGGTTAATTCATAATCAAGCATGATAACATTATTTGTTGGTTTAAGGAAGGTTTTAAATGATACAGTTGTTGGTACTATTTTTTTTACATGATTTGGACCAATACTTGTAAAATATTTATTAGTTAACGGTATGACACTGAAATATATGTTTTTATTTCAGTGTAAAGTTAATACAAAGTTGTGTCAGCGAATAAAATAATGTAAAATTTTGAAAACTTTGATTAAATTGCTCATATAGACTAAAAAAAAGCGATTCTAATATTGATTTATAAGTTTCTATATTATTAATACTGATTCATATATTATAATATTGATTCATAAGTATCTATATTAGGATCACGAACCAAAAATCATAAACATAAATTTTAAGGGAAAAAAAGTTAATTATTTACACAAGTTTCACTCCTTACTAACACAAGTTTTGTTTTAAATTCGTTAATCTTAACCTAAAACAAATTTGTAAATTTGAACTTTATCGCTTTTAGATTAACATGATTGTCATTTTTATTCTGTTTAATTTTACTTACTTAAGTTTTGATAAAACAAACTTTGCATCGTCTACGTTTACTTTTTTTTTGTTTCCGTTTGTTTTGCATTTGGTTTGCAATTGTTGTTTACAAAATTATATTATAAATGCAAACTGATATGCCTTTTCAAACTGAATATAATTACTTTTGATACTCAAAAGAACTTCGTCAAAGTTAATCTAACAAGTATTTATCCATGTCACTGCTGATCCCCTGATTCCCTGATAGCGTAACGCTGACGTAAAGCATTAATCGTGACGTATTAATCATGCGGAAGTTATTTTATTTTAAAGCACGTTAATTACTTAAAAAATATTATGCGTCAAAACAAATTTAACTTTATTAACTTATTGAGTTCCAATATTGTGCGGTGTAGGTAGGGTTACCATCTGGTGTTTTTTAAAGCCAGATTTCTCAAATCTGGTTTGTTTTTTTATCGTTTGGCTTGGAACTTTTGTTTTGGTTTGTTTTAGAAAATCTGGTTTAAATCTGGTTTATTTTAAAGTCTTTGGTCTTTTTTTGTTTTTTTCTGGTATGCTATTTAAAATCTGGTTTAATTCTGGTTTATTAAATAATAAATCAATTTAATTAAGTTTTTGTTTCATGAAAAAAGTTAATTTGAAAGAAAGAAAGATTTTCATTTTTTTTCATTTTATAGAAGAACAATCAAGTTTAAAGTAAATGAAAGAAATGCTTACATTAAAATCTTAAAACGTTAAAACCTTTTACTAGTAATGTAATTAAAATGTTGTTTTTATCCCTTAATTGCCAAAATTTATAAAAATTCTTACATTCAAAATGACATTTTTTGAGAAAAATCTGCCTGTAATGAATGTTGTTTACCAAGTTGAAAAGGCCATTTCAAATCTACAGTTTCATCTTATGGATGCAAAAAGTGAAGAAACTGAAAATCATAACAGAAATCGTCGAAAATCATAAATTAATTGACATTGCATCATTAGATGGAGTCTAAAAATTTTTAAGAAAAATGAATTTCTAAAGACACCGCTGAATTTTAAACTACTTCGTGAGACGATTTAGAAGTTTCCGAAGAATCAGACCTCTGCAATATAGATGCTTACTGCCATGGCTGTCTATGTGTTCTGTTTCTAACTATTTTGTTGAGTTTTCTCACAGTTCATCTGCATAAAAAACAGACTAAGAAAATATCAAACCAAGTCTTTGCATGCAGTTATTTGGATCAAATCAAATTTAATAAGGCAAAAAAATTTTTACCAGGACTTTGAAATATTGGGTTGTAACATAAGTTCGTAGAGTTTTTTTATAATGATTTATTTGAACAAAAAACAATAATTATAATAATAAATTATTCAATGATATATTCTCCGTTACTGTTTACGACCTCCTCCCATCTCTCGACCAATTCGTTGATGCCGTTTTTCCAAAAATCGGTCGGTCTGGTGTCGAAGAAGTTGTTGAGCCAGTTTTTAAGATCCTCTTCGCCATCAAAGGTAACACCCCTCATTTGGTTTGATAGAGAGCGGAAAAGGTGATAGTCGGTTGGTGCAAAATCCGGAGAGTACGGTGGATGATGAAGAACTTCCCATTCAAGCTCTTGGAGTGCTGTTTTGACGACTGGGGCAATATGGGGCCTTGCATTGTCGTGGAGCAAGATGACTTTACTTTGTCTATCGGGTTTTTTCAGCCGAATAGCCTCATTTACATGGTTCAGCTGGGCAATGTAGACCTCCTTGTTGACAGTGGCATTTCGTTCGAGCATTTCCCAGTGCACCATGCCTTCCCAGTCCCATCAAACGCAGGTCATAGCCTTTTTTGGATGAAGATCTTGCTTGACTCTCGGCTTCGGCGTCTCTCCTGGGGCCACCCACTCCTTTCTTTGCTTCAAATTGATGTACTGACACCATTTCTCATCTCCCGCGATGATTCGTTACAAAAAGCGCTGTTTGTATCCATGTGTTGCTCGGTGGCGGGCGAGATGTTGAGCAGCAATTTGAAGGCGTTTTTCTTTGTTTTCTTTGTTGAGCTCGTGAGGTACCCTTGCTTCGAGTTTTTGAGTAAAACCAATTGATTAAAGGTGGCGAGAGATCATCATTGCACTGATGTTCATTTTTTTAGCCAATTCATGAGTTGTTTGGCGACCGTCTTCCTTCAATAGTGCCTTCAGATGCTCTTCGTCGAATTCTGCAGGTCATCCGCTTCGAGGCGTGTCTTCAAGGTCAAAGTCGCTATTTTTAAACTTTGCGAACCATTTTTGTGCAGTAGACACACCTAAGACACCTTCGCCGTGCACACTGCATATGTCTCGTGCGGCTTCGGCTGCTTTTTGACCACGATGAAAAGCAAAGAAAAGCAGATGTCGAAAATGCTGATTTTTTCCTCCTGGGTATTCCATTTCTGAGCCAGAAAAAAGACGAATAATTAAATTATCCAAAAAACAAATAAAACCGTTTTGTAGACGAGAAAGAGCTCTTTCGAATGAATGTATACACTTTGCTAAAAAACAAAACAAATCGTTGTAAAATAACTCTAACGCAAAACTCTACGAACTTATGTTACAACCCAGTAGTTGAGTCAATTATTGCAAAGGTTGGAAAAAAATCTATATCCGTATGCAAGCATAAAAATGAATATATTTTACAGGTTGATAGTGTCGGATTTTGTATAGGTGTTTGGGAGTGAACTACTTTTCCCACGCCGCTTTGAAGGCTGGACTGGCGCCCCATCAAACATTCACTAAGTCGTTTTCCTCCTCCCTCACTCTCTTACAAATTAAATTTTAATATTCAAGGATGATTGTTTGGATAAAAAAGCATTTTTTAAAAAATATAAATTATAAATAAAGCTTTAAAACAAAAAATTATGATTTTTTTCTTTTTTTTATTGGTCTGGTTTATTTCTGGTTTATTTTTGTTTCAATAAAAAACATGGCAACCCTGGGTGTAGTGGTTAATCATCGGGTTGGCAAATCCAGAGATAGTAAATTACCAAGAACAATAGTTTTGAAGCTTTTAAATTACAAAGACAAAAACAAAATTCTAAATACCGTGAAAAACTAGCGTGGAACTGGTGTTAAAGAAGATTTTGCGAAGGAAACTATTGAGAGTCGTAAAAAGTTATGGGAGGAAGTAAAAAGATTACGCAGTGAAGAAAAGTATGCTTGTTGTAAAATATGATAGAATTTTTTGCAGGGAATTTAGAAACCGAAACATTACGTTTTAAAAAGAAATTTTTCTAAAAATAAATGTTCCTTAAAAATAAAAAAAATAAAAAGCATGGCTGGGACTAGTGATTTTGAATCCATAAAATTCAACTTTTTTGAAATAAATAATAATGAAAATATAAAATCTGATTTAAATTTTTTACACGACATGCTTAGGGATTGCTCATATCACTACCAAGCGAATTAGAAGGGTTTCTTTTTAAAAATGTTTGCGACAAAAATTTAAATAAAATTAGAATTCTCCACATAAACATTCAAATCCTTAATAATAATTTTGAAAAACTTCTCAATTTGTTAGAGGAAACAAAAAATTGTTTTAATATAATTTGTTTGACTGAACTTTTATATTCCTCGTTTTAAATTATTTCTCTCCAAAGACAAGTAATTAAACACGGCGGAGGAGCTATAATATATATAAACGAAAATATTGTTTATTATGTTAGGAATGATTTAAGTGTATCTGATGCACTGATCTATATTATTAGGGGGGGGGGGGTCCATAATCGTCTTTTTTTAGATTTTTTATAGTTTGACCAATTTTTCTTAACTAGTTTTTCATGCTGATTCTGAAAATCATAATCATTTTTTTCATTTTAATTATTTAGCCTTCTACTTCAATTTTCATAAAAGTGAATATATTAACAAAAAAAAGGCATTGTTAAAAATAGATGAAATTATTATTATCATTAAATATCAGAAAAGTAGAAAAGTAAAAATCTTTTTCTGTTTAATTTATCAATAATTATTATCTTAATTAATACCTTATCATTTATAAGTAACAAAAAAAAAATTATACATATGAATTATATGAATTATATATGAAAATAATTCATACAGTTTGTTATTTACTATTGAAAATGGAAAATAACTATAAACGTCATATGTGATAAATATTGCTGCGTGAACTTTCCTTATAGAACATCTAGGTTATATGCGTGTTCTTTGGTAGACATAGGATGGAGATTTGTATTTTTATATCAACAATCATGTATTTAAACAGAATAGACCTCCGCGACAATCCAAAAAGTTGAAACTATTCCATAGTTTCAACTTTTTGGACAAATAACAGAACAATAGTTCTCCAAAATATTTTTAAACTGCGATAACCTTCATTTTTTATACGGTTTAAATAATTAAGTATACATTTTTCCAAAGCTTTCCAACTGCAACAACTTAACTAGAAAGTTAATACTAATCATATTCCATCATCAACCAAACACATAATATTTTTCCTTTTTTTGAAGTCCTGAGGCTAACTTTTGCCAAAATACTATAGCAAGAATGATACAATCATTCAACCTCTTTGAGGTATACTTATTAACTGCTTCTAAATTTTTTTTTAACTAGCTATTCACTGCGTTTTAGAGTAAAGCAGAAAATTTCAAAATTTGATCACCCAGTTTGTTTTTTAAAAAGCCTTTTAGGTAGCGGTGTTCCTTTAGCCTGTTTATCTTTAGAATTGTTAAAACTTTAGAATCTAACTGAACTTCTACTGACTGGCACTTTAAAAGAAGATTTATTTTTAACTTCATAAAAGAAAAGTGAAAAAAAAAATGAAATCTTGAATAGCCTTCTTGATAGCTTGAATAACGATTAAAAATAAATAAAAAAAAAAGGAAATTAATATATTTTGAAGCAATCTGTCTTTTTGATTACTTAAAACGTTTAGACTTCAGATAAAACTTTTTTTTTTGAAGCAATTTGTCGTTTTACTTATTTAAAACATAATTTTAGAAAAAGACTTCAGATAAAACTTTTTTTTTCTAAAACGCAATCAAATTTATCCAATCAAAATTTGAATAGTATAAATTTGAAAGAAAAGTTGCGTAACTTTATAGGCAAAGAAATTTTTGCAAAGATTTTTGTTTTTTATATCTTTAAATTTTTAAAATAGAAGTAGAAGGTCAACCATAAAAAATTAGCAGAAACTGAATTGTTTTTTAAACTTTTCTCAAAAAAATTATTAAAGAATAACTGGTTAAACAAGAAATATAGAATTTTGGACCCCGCTCTCCCTAATATTATAACTTATTATATAGATCAGTGATCTGATGACGATAAAGAAATTTTAAATATTGAAATTATAACAATGAAACAGAAAAAAAATATTATTAAGCTGTTGTTATCGACCACCTGACGGCGTGAGTGAGAACTTGAGCATTTTTTTTGAACAAAGTATTTTTAAAAAAGGTATTAAAGAAAAAAAAAGATTTTTATTATTGGGTACCTAAATATGAATTGTTTTCTATACTTTTACGATTCTTTTTTTGAAACTGGAGCAATTCCGTCGATTAATCGTCCATCAAGAGTCACAAAAAACTCAGCGTCTTTGATTGATAATATCATTACAACAGATATATCCGATAATGATATCCAAAGGGGTATCCTAAAATCAGATATATCTGATCATTTTCCATTATTTTTGTTGCTTAAATCAAACTCTGAAAATATAACCAAATTAATTAAAATACGCACTTTTAACGAAACCAATATAAAACAATTTAAAGACCAATTATCACTCTTGCACTGGAAGCTTATTAACTTTAATGATAATGCTGACAAAATTTACGATAAATTTTTTGAAACATTTTATTCCGTGTATTACGCTAATTTTCCTATCATTGTAAAAACATTAAATCCAAAAAATATAAATAACCCATAGGTGACCAGGGGATTTAAAAAATCATTAAAATAAAACAGAGGCTTTATATAAAATATCTTAAAAAAATCATCTGCAAATGAAAGAATATATAAAGAATACAAATACCTATTTGAAAAAGTTCGTAAAAACTTGAAAAAAAAATTACTACTCAATACTCATAGATAAATTTAAAAATAACTCAAAACGCACTTGGCAAATAATGAATGAAATTAGTGGTAGGCAAAAAAGATGCTCAGGTTTCCTCCCCCAAACGATTATAGTTGATAACAAACATATATGCGAATCTAGAGCTATAGCTCATGAATTTAATAAATTCTTTGTTAACATCAATTCTAAACTAGCAAAAAAAATTCCTTATACAAATGCTACATTTAAAGATTTTTTAGTACAAATGGATAATTGCACTAGTTCCAAAGAATTATCTTCTGAACTATCTTTTCAAGAGTTTGAAAAAGCTTTCAAAACTCTTCAAAAAAATAAAGCATCCGAAGCCGATGACATAAACGGCAATATAGTCATAGAATGTCTTGAATACTTAAAAGATATCCTATATAAAGTCTATGGAACATCTATACGCCAAGGAGTTTTTCCTGAAGAACTGAAAATTGCTAAAGTTGCTCCAATTTTAAAAGAAGGTGATCAAAAAAATACCAATAATTATCGTCCTATCTCTGTCCTCTCAACATTTTCAAAATACTAGAACGTATAATGTACAATAGATTATACAATTATCTTCATTCTAATAATTCTTTATACAACTATCAATTCGGCTTTAAAAGAAATAATTCCACAAAACATACAGTTATCCAATTTGTATGTGAAATCTCTAACTCTTTTGAAAAATCTAAATACACATTAGGTGTTTTCATCGACCTTACGAAAGCATGCGATACTGTCGACCATGAAATTTTACTACAAAAGCTAAAATATCATAGAATAAATTGCAAAGTTATAAAATGATTCAAAAATTATCTATCCAACCGTAAGCAGTTTGTTTTCAGCAATAATGATCATCCAAATAAATTTCTAAACATTTCATGTGGCGTTCCACAAGGTTCCATTATGGGACCACTATTGTTCTTAATTTATATAAACGATCTAAATAAAGCCTCACATATAATGAGTATCATGTTTGCTGAGGACACTAACTTAATCTTTTCCGATAATGACATTTGCAAACTCTTCTATACTATGAATGATGAACTTAAAAATATATCCAAATCCCAGTGGGCACTAGACCAAAAAAAGACGTCTTTTGAACGTTCAAAAGACGTCCTAAACGTTCAAAAGACGTTTAAAAAACGTCCAAAACGTGTATAAGATGTTTAAAAGAGGTCTTTTTTACGTCCGTGTCCACTGGGATGATTTAAATGCAACAAACTAACTCTTACTATTAAAAAAACAAATTGTTCTTTTCCACCCAGTCTCTAAAAAAGCTTGTTTACCCCGAAGTTTGCCTAAAATTTTTATTGATGATGTTCAAATAAAAAGACATAATGTAACAAAGTTTTTAGGTATTTTTTTTGATGAAAACATAACATAGAAAACGCATATCGACTATATTGGTACAAAAATTTCTAAAAATATTGGAATTCTATATAAAACTAGAACATATTTATGTAAAAAAAGTCTAACTTTATTACTCATTAATTCATAGTTATTTAAATTATGCTAATGTTGCATGCGGAAGCACTGAAAAAAGTAAGTTAAAATGCCTTTATCGCCGTCAGAAACATGCAATCCGTTTAATAAATTTTGAGGATCGATACACGCATTCCAAACCACTTTTTATCGACATGAAAGTTATGAGCTTAATGTTTTTAATGGTTTGTGCTTTATGTATATGTGGAAATATGACATATCTTTACCCATTTTTAGATATCTCTTTATTTTGAAACCACTAAATAAATATACACTTAGAAACAATAATTTTATATATGAGCCCTTTTGTCAAACCAAGTTTAATCAGTTTTGTATTGCACATCGTGCACCCTATCTTTGGAATAAAATTGTTTTGTCCGATTTTGACATGCATTTCACTTTTCCCATTTTTAAATATAAACTGAAAAATTTAATTATCTTAATGGATGATGTAGTCAGATTTTTTTAATCACAATTATATATATATATATTTAGAACTTTTATTGTTTATTATGTTTTATTTTGTTGATTATGTTTTTATGTAGTTTATATACACAAGCTTTTAAAAGGTTCTGAAGATAAGATCAGCACGATTTTCTTTCAGAAACCTTGTTTGTGACTATTTTTTTTTCAACATCTTTGCTTCCAACAAGGCTGCAAGTAACCACTATTAGAGTTGGAAGTTACTCGAAGAGAAAAGATAAAGTTTATAGAGCAAAATAACGATAGACAGACAACTTAAAAGATTGCAAATTATATGAATCAGGAAAGCAAGATGAAAGAAGCGAATTCCAAAGAACTGATGTTTGAGGAAAAAAATAGTCGAATAAGAGTTTTTGGAGCACTTAGGAATAGTCAGAGAAAAACAATGAGACTTAGTTGAATGAAGAATAACACGAGAATGAATTTAGAAAATGACACAAAAGACGCTAGCTCTCTAGAGCAGTGCTTATTATAGTATTTGTAGAAAAGAGGAAGAGAAGCAACATTACGAAGATGCGATAATGGTTGAAGGTTGCTTGCAAGAGCAGGTCTAATTATGTTTACAATGCATTTTTGCACATTGTCTAAAAGGGAAAAGATATCATTGAAAGATCCACCCCAGATATGGCAACTGTATTCCATACAAGGACGGGTTTGAGATTTATAGAGATAAAGAATAGAATCCGGAATAACAAAGTATCGAGCTTAGCAGGTGCAAATTTTGTAATGGATTCGATATATGGCCTCAAAAAAAGATCGGAACTAAGAGTTAAACCTAGAAAATTAAGGGTAGATAACTCATCGAGTACATTAACGTTTATAAATATGCAGGAAGATCTAAATTATGGCGATAAAAATTGGTTGAAAAAAATTGGTTTTTATCTGAGCCAAAGTTCACCAGCTTCTGTGAGCCCCATGCTGTAGCAAAAGTTAAATTTTTTTCAAGCTCAAATGCCCCCTCCTCAAATACAATTAGATAATGTTGGCTTCTTATCAAGACAAAAATAAATGGTAGTATCATCAGTGAACAATGCCACCATGGCATGAGAATATCTGGAAGATTGTTAATGTAAATTAAAAAGAGTATAGGGTCAAGGATAGAACTTTGAGGAACTCTTTAAGTTACAGGGTATGAAGAAGAGTGTTGTCCATTGAGGACAACTTTTATACTACGATTGGAAAGCAAGAATTTAATAATCTCAAAGTTGTTATCTGATACATCGTAAGAATAACGTTTATGTAGAAGATCAGCATTCCAAACTTAATCAAAAGCTATAGAAATGCTGAGAGTGATAGCCTTAATCTCTCCACCTCTATCTAATGCACAATAAAACCTATCGGTTATTACTGTTAGCGAATCAGCGGTAGAACGAGAAGATTGAAATTCAGAAAAAAATCAGAAAGTTATTAGATTCAAGATGAGAAATTAAGTGATTTTTAATTAAATATTCAAAAACCTTGCTTATGATAGGAAGAAGACTAATAGGACGGTAGTTAGACAAGTCAGCTCTCCACAATGTTTGAAAATAAGGATAGCAGATGCCACGTTCAAGCAAGCTGGAAAACAATACTCTGATAAGCAAAAAAACAGTTTTGAAAAAAATGTAAAACAGTTTTGAAAGTATAAACGAAAGCTCCGGATAAAGACTATAATGTTAAGAAAGAATATATATGTTGTTCGGACCACAAGCTGTAGAAGAGTCTGAGCAGAAAATTACTATAGATACAGAACCTGGAGTGATACGAACGTCAAGCAATGAACCAATCTGTTTGTCGGCAATATCAGGTAGAAAGCAACTAGTGGAATTGAGATTGATAAAAAGTTTTTAACAAACAATTCAGCTGTGTCTTTAGGTGAGGTGACAAAGTTTGAATCAAACAAGAGAGGTGGAATAACAGATTTGCCCTTATTATTGGTACTGTTAAAGCTTCTCTAGAAGTCTGGAGCGCCTAATTTTTGATGAAATACGAGATTTCATGACCTGAGAATAATGCGCTTTTATTTCTAGCAATAGTAAACAGACGTATGTTTTCAGGAGAATTGTTTTGTCGATAGATATAGAAGTAATGGTTTCGATTGGAAATTGCAGCAGCACAATGTGAGGTAAAACATGGAGAAGAGTGAGGCTTGACTTGAAATCGTCGAGAGGGAATAAAAGGTTCCATGCCAGCCTTAATCCAAGAAGTTATGTAAAAAGCACATTTGTCAGCAGGAAGACGAAAGATTTCTACTCAAGGTCCATCAAAAAGAAAATCTTGGTAGAAGTCCCAGTCAGCTTTAAAGTAGTTATAAGAGGTACAATAATAGGGGGAATCTGATGATGAAGAAGAATATAATTTCTTTATATTATACTTTTTTTATAAATACTGTCTGGGCTTTTAGTAAATAATTAAAATAATAAATTTCATTAAAGAAACTATAATAATAATAATCATTTTTAACGATAGACTCCACATGAAGGTAAGCCAGAGCCGTCTATTGAAAATTTTCAACAAGTTACAACACTAGCAGTATTTTTATGTCAAGTTTTGGCAATTCACAATACAAACAGAGTCGTCCAGAGTTAGTCAATCTTTAGTAGAAATTGATTGAAAAATGGATTAAACTTTTAGCGACCAATTATTGATTAACCATTGATGGTTGGTTTAGATTTACTTTTCAAACATTTTATAACTATACGTTTATTAAACGTTGATTAAACGTTTACAATATTGACCAACTTCAGTCATTAACTTACTATTATTTAAATAATTTAAAGACTTTGTAAATCAGAGTCAGAGTTTTTTATACTGAATGTATTCATAAACTTTTTTTATTCACATATGTTGTAAAGTTAGAAATTTTTTATACTGAATGTATTCATAAACTTTTTTTATTCACATATGTTGTAAAGTTAGAAATTTTTTATACTGAATGTATTCATAAACTTTTTTTATTCACATATGTTGTAAAGTTAGAAACTTTTTTGATAAAAACTAAAAACGCTAGTAAACTCTTACGTTGGCCAATAGTTAATAAATTAATAATCGATTACATGACATTGGTTGTCAGAAATAAAAGTAAAAATGCAGATCAACGAGAAAGTGGATGCCAAATAGCTTTCTCTTTTGAAATTGAAAAGTTGTAAGTTCATTTAATTTAATGCTTCACCAACTGCGGTTTGACACAAGCCGATTTAATTTCTATTGTTCAGCTCTATTTGGAAAACACAAAACAAAAGCATTCACTCAAAAATGGCAAACCTCAATTATAGTGGTAATATTGAAATATAATCCACAATTAGTTTAACAATTTCAAGAAACAACCCGCCCGGCATTTGGTCCTAAAAAGACGTCTTTTAAACGTTTAAAAGACGTTCAGAACCTATTTTGAACGTTCAAAAACAATGAAGCCGAAATTGAGTAAAAATCAGAACAAGGTTGGGATATTTTTAATTTATATTAAAGGGTATAATTAGGGGTATAATTAACTTTGCATTTACTAAATTAAGTTCTTGTATTATACATTCAGGTATTTAATCTAGTATATGCAGTGTTTATTATAAATATCATTTCAAATATTATTACTAATATTAATAATAACAATAATAGTAATAATAATAGTAATAATAATAATAATAATGTACGAAAGAAAGATTTAAAAAACCTTTAAAAAGAATAATGCTTAATTAAAAAAAGAAAACAAGTAACGAATAAATTGCAGCCGAGTTTTTGGTTCGCTTGCTCATCTTCTGCTCATTAAAAAAAACTTTCGTAACGTCTGCTTCTTAAGAGATCGAGCCAGGTGAACAGAACAAGTTTGTAAATTGCAATTTAACTTGCAGAATAAACAAATAGTTTCAAAACTTGTGACCGAAGGCTAAAAGTAGAAAAGTTGTAATATGTAATAACTATTTTGTATTTATATTATGAAGTTTTCTTTAAGTGGTATGATAATTTTTATGATATGTTTTTTAACTTATTTCCTTTATATTCTACAGAAAATGGGAATATGCGGAATAATTGCTATGAGCATCGTGTGCGCAGTATGCTGTACTTGGTTTTTGTGGGTGTGGTCAAACGAATTAAAAAGAAAATATAAGAACGAAAATTAAGTCTTAAAAGAATGCAAGAAATTGTAGTTAAAATATAATCAAATGCTAAATTTTTTTTTACCGCTTTCATGAACTATTTTCATGTTATCACTCCATGAATTTTTTATCATGTTATAATTTCATGAAATTTTTAAAATTTTAAATAAATAATTGTTAGTAGTTTTCGTGTAAAAAAAACTTTGTCAAATTAAAAAATGAAACTTTAAACAATGATTTGTTGCTAATGTTTTAAATTATTTTATTTGTTTGATGTTTTATACTTTTCTTATTTAAAAATTTTTTGCCCGTCAGTAATGCTTAGTAGGAAGAATTGACGACTTTTGATAATGTCGAACCTTTTATCAATCGTCGTCAATTATTATTAATCAACGTATTTTTTTTAAATTAATCACTTTAATTGAAATCTTTTTTTTTCTTCTTTTTTTACATAATCACATGTTTTTATTATTCGTGGTTTTAAATGATTTTACAGAAACCAGGTGTTAAAACTGTTTGAAAGTTTATTCAATTAAGCGTCGTTCTTATTTTATTAAGCATTAGAAACATTAAACAGTTAATTCAAATTTGGTTGCTTAAAATTTGTTTGTTGTTTCAAATTGTTTTTGAAAAATAAAACGGTTACAAATTTTTGATAAATTAGTTAAAAAACGGAACTTTAAATATTCAAAATATTCATCCTGTTGATCGGTGCCCCAACCACGGCTATGTATTGACCAACTTTCATGGATAGGTGCAGTAAATAGTAAGTAATAAGTGTAGTACCCCTCGCAGACCTAATAAAATCAACTGATATATTTTTTTTGTCAAAACATAGCTCTAGAAATAAATGTTTAAATATATGAAAGGGACTGAAGATGCCTCCACAATTACAATATATATATATATATATATATATATATATATATATATATATATATATATATATATATATATATATATATATATATATATATATATATATATATATATAAAATAAAAAAAGTGATAAATGATAATACCCGATAACTTGAAACTTGGATGTATTTTTGGCCTATATTTAAAAGCCAACCCGGTAAAATAGTTAAAGCGGCAGGAGTTACTACTCGAGTCTCAGAAACATTAATCAAAATTAAAGTTTTAATAATGCTCTAAAGTGACATTTTTCGAAAAACATTTTCATTTGCAGATTAAATGAGTACTTAACAATTGGAATCTTAAAAGCTTCTGGAAATTTGGACTATTTTTAGTTACCTTTAAGTATAGATACTTGTTTATAAATTTCTAGTAAAAAAATTTATTATCAATTTTAAATTTTAAAAACCTTGAATAAAATGACAAAAGATCTAAATAATTTTTTAAAATAAATATTTTTTTTACTGCTATATAAATCAACTATAATACATGAAAGTTATACAATTTTTTAATCTCGACCATGCAATGGAAATCTTTTTACCTAACATTAAAATTTTAATTTGTAAGAAAGCATTAGTGACATGCAATCATATAGTTGCAAGCTTGTTTCCTTTTTTGAGAATAGGCACCGCATTTGATTTTCGCCAGAGATTCGTAACCCTCTTTAGTAAGTCCGTAAAGAGCGAGTCACGCGAGAAGAGTAATATTGAAAACAAAGCTTAAAACCCAGTGCCGAGCGTAGGCTCCCACACCCCGTAATTAGTGGGGGTGGGATGTTGTGGAGAGCAGCAAATTTAATGCCCTTTTGCTATTTTATTTTAGCAAAACCCAGCGGCAAAATTTAGAAGATTTTAAGACCCTAATGACACGTTTTTTTTTGAGGGGAGGGGGGTCTCTGACCTTTTAGTCATTGCACTGCTAAAACCTGTTTTTTGTTGACTCAAAAATAGGCAACCTATTTTTTGCACATGCATGCATACATGCCACCCTTTATTTACTGGTTATACTCAGGGCTAGTATATAAGGGTTGGCATGGGCGCCTGCATGATTTTTTGATGTTCCAGATACGACACTTTCATACATTGTGCAAACTCCAAACTTAAGTATGTGTATACCTATGCCAAATGAGGAGACCTTGTAAAAAATTGGGATGGTGGAGACCTGTCAGCAAATAGCCTGAAACGCTTGCTCCCCTGCTCAAACGAGAGGGCACTTATGTAGTAAAATTTTTAACTTAACGATCTAAAGCTAAATTCAAATTTATCGACAGAATTTAAATTTCGTTGAAAAATATTGTAAATTACAAAAATTATGTACATGCAAAATGTACAGCACCACATTTATTAATTTTTTTTTTGTGGGAGAGGGTCGGAAAATTTTACTACATTTGTCCCCTCACGTTTGGGCAGGGGAGAGAATGCATGCATTTGAGGGCTTTTTTGTTCCCAGACTACCGCCATAACAATTTTTTGCAAGGCCTCTTCAAATGGCATAGGTATAAACATACTTAAGTTTGGAGTTTGTACAATGAGTGGAAGTGGTTTATCTGGAACATCAAAAAATCCTGCGGGCGCCCATGCATGTGTGTGCATAGAGAGAAACTATACCTTGTACTCCCAATACAATACATCTTTTTATGTTGGCAAACTAGGATATTTAGTCAGAAATTTAACTTTTCTATTGACTAGCTAGTTAATTGTGTAAAATAATAAAATCGAAGGACGTACTTTTAAATTGAACCCTCCCCCTTCCCCCAATACGCTTTCGTACGCTTTTTGAAGACCTCCCCTCCCCCAATGAGCGTACGTACTTTATGGACGACCTCTAATTATGGAATTACCCCTGTTAAAGCTGAGTTTTACATTGGACTGAAACAAAATCTCTAGGATTTAATACTTCTGTTTTTAGTTCTTTTGTGGATATAACATTTTTTTTTGCATATTTTTATGTGTATACTGACATTTTTTTTCAGTGGCCATCGGACGTCATAAGACGTCATAAGATGTAAATAAGTATATGAACATCCGTTTGACGTCCGTCGTACTTCTTAAAACTAATTAATAATTTTGAAGCAGTTTGTTTGGAGTAATTAAGCTATTACATGTTGTGGTTACAATAATGGCAAAAATCTTGAGTTCTACTAGTTTTTCCTGAGTGATCACTAACTTGATCTACAACTAGTCATTTTAAGATACAGAAAATTTAAAAGACCCGTTACCGAAGTGTCAAGACGTTGAAGCCTATGTGGTGGGAATATAAGTGAAACAATTCTATGCAAAAATTTATTGTACGTTGGGTATTGTGGTTATCTAGTAAAAAAAAAGTTCTTGTTTTCTTTATTTCATTTTAAAGTTAAGATTAAATGTGAAGGCATTTTTATAAAAAGTGCTCATGTTATCCGCTAACGGGGTTGTTAGCAAGTCCAACACAATCGTTAGGTCTTTCTGTGGAAATAAGTATAAAGTTTCCAACAACGTTAGTAGATGTACACATTGTTACAATTTTATTTTGGCTCCCTAAATAAGAAAATATGGCTCCATAATTTGTAACATTTATTTAATACTTTGCATTGTTCGTATGCTAAAATTCTAGGTCGGAAATATGTTAACCCATAGTTTATTTTTGATGACATTTTAACTTTTTTTTTATAAATACATACTTTAAATAATATTTAAACTTTGGTTACTGTGAGTAAAGCTTTATTATTATTATTAGTAGTAACATTTTTATTTTTATTGAAAACTTTGAGTTACAGCAAAACTTTTTCACGTTTTTGAAAAAACAAAAACAAAGATAAGCTATTTGATAGGTCAAAGTGTTGCCATGCAACACTTAAACTTAAAAAGCATTTCATCTATGCAACTTTAAAAAGTTTTATGTTTTTGTTTAAATAAAAAAATACAGCTATAAAATGTGTGCTGGGAAGATTAACAAAAATTTCTGAATCGTTTAAAATAAACAAGCTTTTACTTAGTGTTGAAAAATCTAATAGGATATTTTTTTATCCAGCTTCTAACAAAATACTTTTGACTTGCAATTTAACATTACTTTTTATTGACAAAATTCTAATAAAAAGAGTAATTAATACAAACTTTTTGGGTATCTATATCAATGAAAAGCTTAATTGGAAATATCACATAGAATTCTTGTGCAATAAAGTTGCTAGAAGTATAGGAATAAAAGTAAATATATAGGCTTATATAAGACAATATAATATATAGGCTTATATATAGGGAATATATATAAGGAATATTTATAAAGCTAGAAGTGCTTAAAATAAACGTAACTTAACTCAATTAACTCTTTTATCGATTGTCATTTAAACTTCACAAATATTGCTTGGTGCAGTGGTAATAAATCCAAACTTAGGCCTCTTTATTATCAACAAAAGCATGTTGCTCGTCTTATTAATCTTAAAGATAGATTTATTCATCCGAGCCTCTCTTATTTGAAATGAAAATTCTTAGTATATATTAGCTAAATGTTTTTAATATTCTTTGTTTTATGTACAAATGTAAAACTAACTTCAACACAGTATCTTTCCATAGTTTATATACCATAAAAAATAAAAATAAATACAACTTAAGAAATGATAATTTAATTCGTCAACAATTCTTTCAGACTAATTTTGAAAAATCAAGCATTTCCTTTCGTGGAGCTTCTCTTTGGAATAAAATAGTTTTAAAAAATTTTGATTTTTCTTTAGAATGGAGTTACCTCTCATTCATTAAAAAGCTTAAGGAAACTTAAGAGTCTCATACTTTGTATAAATTTTAGGTGGTACACTACTAAAAAAATACTTATTTTGGAGAAAATGTCAAAATTTAATTTTTATTATCATTTTTTTCCAAATTTCATCCTCTTTCATTTGATATAATCATCTTGCATTATTTGACAGCGAAAAATATTTAAAAATTGCATTTTTCATGAGTTTAAGTCTTAGCAACGACTTAAGAACAAAACAAAAACCTCATTTAACCCCTAATGTCTAAGTTAAAATAGCTTCATTTAAAATAAAACAATATTTATCGTCAAACTCAATTCCACTTTAGGTTAAAAACCTGATAATATCAATTTATTAAGGCTTCTAACACGATCAACTACAATTGAAGTATCTTCGTGGGTAGACTCAAAATCTGAAAGAGTTCTTGAATGCCTTCATAAGGTCCAGAGTTTCAAAGAACACTTTCTTTTAGTAAAAAAATAATTTTAATAGGCTCTGCTGTTATTTGTTTTAATAATGGAAGTAAAGGTATTTTGAGTAATTTAAACTTTAGCTGGGTATATAACATTCATAACATCTATTCAACTTGACAAATCTTGTGTGAAACAAATGAAGCAAATGTCAATACAAAAGTGTGTAAAACAATGAAAAAAGTTGAGATCAGAAGCCAAAAGATTCAGTGATAAATAAAATTCCAATAAAACTAATCTGTCATATGTTTTTGGTCGACATTAAACAAGATTTTATTTGAAAAAATATTTAAATGTGTTTTTTATAACTTTTGATTTTTGTAATGCTAGGGTAACTTTGAAACGTAATATATTTAAATTGGCCTAATAATTTTTGACTGAAACTTTGAGGGTATACTCAGTATACTTAAGAAATTCGGTTAACAGATAAGATTTTTAAAATTCCAGTTCATTTTTTTTTAGTTAAGAAATTAGTTCTAATGTAAAGTCAAGCAGCTTAGTGTTTTAAGGATATTTTCAATAATTTGTGGTTAAATTTAAAATAAGTCCTTATATTAAAAATCCATATGTCAATCAATCAAATCAACTGGAATTAAATATTATAATGCATAATTCTAGTAAGTTTGAATGAAAGAAATTTATATTTTATTCCAATTTTTTTTTTTAATGTGCTTTTTAGTAGTGTACCACCTTCACCAGCGTTTTTCTGTGACCTAATGGTCTTCTTTGAGCATCCGCGTTCTCTATTTATATTTATTTATATAAATATAAATAAAGAACGCGGATATAACTTATTATATTTGTTTATATATTTTTTATTTATTTTTATCATAAAAAATTGTAATAAATAATAATAAAAAAAAAATTCTTTGTCTCTAGACATCGCAATTTTTAAAACAACTTTATCATATTAATGCAAAGAGTTAGAGTTTAGAGTTTCTGGCAAAACTAAGGGTATCCCAAACACGAAATATTTTTGTTGGGGTTGTCTACAAACTACGTCACGGGATAGGGAAAAGGGATAGAGATTTTTTTTTTTTAATTCAGATTTTTTTCTTTTATTTTTAAATCTTAAAAGAATACCCAGCCAAAACATAAACTCTCAGTCTATTTAAATCAGTTGATGAATGTAGACTCCGCTTGATAGACTCCGCTCGAAATGTCGTCAATGATATAGCAGTCTACGTCTATATCGTCGTTGATAAAAAAACTAATACTAGTGTAATTATTAAATAAAAACTATTCACGACATTATTAAATAACAATAATAGTTAATACACATAAAATATTGTCTTCGAAATAAAACATCAAATGTCACAAAAATAAAAGCACCCTACTCCACGCTTTGAACACGCAGCTCCGCTTTTGTGCAACCTAACGATATCCTAGATGGTACACTTACTTATTGATTGCGTGGTATTAAGTTATACATCTAAAGTAAAACAAATATCCTCAGAGGTTTTTTTTCTGTTTAATCACTGTTAAATTACAATTTTATATAGAACTATAGAAGTGCAAAAATTTAATATAAAAAACTATACTAAAAAACTTATAATAGTTATATACTGAAAAGAATAATTAAGAAAAATTAATCATCTAAAAGCAGGTAAAAAATTTTAAATATTATCTTTTTTAAAACCACGTGACGTAATTTCTAGACGACCCCCTATGGGTCTATTGTGTATGCGCGAAAATAGTTTAAATAGCATAAATATTGTTCTGCAAAAAAATCAATTTTCATTAATCAAGCGTTAAACCGTTTTTTAATGTTACTAACCAAGCATTAGACCATTTTAAAGACTAAAACATTAAACGCTTTTAAGATAATTATAAACGTATAAATAAGTAAACAAGCCAAAAAATGTAATCAAGTAGATTTTCTACAACCACCCACAAAAAAAAGTTTTTTATTCGTCTAACGTAAGACTTTAAATAGGCGTTTCAAAAAGTATAAAACACTTAATTGAAAAAAAAAAGATTAAAAAATCATTCATTATAATGGGTCTCATTACTAAGGACGATAATATCGTATCTTTAAAAAAAAGATTAAAAATATCGAGAAAAAGATTATAAATAAATGGCGACTAACCGGATACAATCTAATCATTGTTTATAGATCATTAAAAAGTAAAATTTCAGAGTTCCACTACGAACAAAAGTGTAAAACTATTTTCATCAGCAAGCAATATACAATAAATTTCTTTAAGCGATAAATGTCTCTAGAGAAAATTATTTTGATATTGTTAAATGTTAATACTGTAAAGTTTTTTTGTTAAAAATTTCAGATTACTTATAAGTTGTTTAATATATTTTAGAAAAATTGTAATGATCATTTTTTACGAACTCATGAACAATACAGTTTTAGTCTGTTAAGGTTAAGTGATTTAGTTTAGAATTGAGTAGTGTTGAAGATACTTAACCAACCCTTACGTAACCAACCCTTCCATCTTTAATATTAATACAGTGAAAAGCTATTTCATTTTTATCTTGTATTTTTGAAAACCAAAACAGAACAAAACAAAATCTCAATCTATTAATTTATTGTCATTTAATAAATAATTTTCACAATTTTGACTAGATTTCATTTGATTTAGATTTTTTTTGCTTTTGGAAAAGTTACTTTTTAAAATAGTCTAAATTAAAGAATATTTTTCAAATAAACACAAAAAAACAACTTGTCTCGAACATTTTTAACTCCGTTTTCAAGTTAATAAGTGCACGATAAATAAATAAGATTATTTACAAATTTCAAAATGGCTGCAATATAAATAAATTTATATAACATTATATTTATAACATAAGTTAATAACAAAATAAAATATATAAACTATATCAAAAAAAAAGTGTTTACAACTTGCAAATATAAAACTATTTATGAAAATGCACATTTATGGGCAAATTCTATTGCAACTTGTATACAAATCTGAAAACGTGTTGCGACAAACTCTATTTTTCAGCTTTATGTTTTTACCAACAAGCAACATTTAAGCAACATTTAGGCAGCCCATGGTTAACCTTCTCATACGAAAAGCAAATTTAAACTAAAAAATAGATTAAAACCTATTAAATAAGTTTGACCTCTTTTGGATTATTAATTTTACGGTGTCTCACAAAAGCTGATATTTATTTTGCGTCACCTTTTTTGCTTATCAGTCAGCTAACAGGGAGTATTAAAGATGGTGCCAATTATTTTTTGTAAACTGATGCTTTATTTTTTCGGTTTACATGCCAATTTTTACATTTTATTCAGACGCATTCGTAAACCTTTTTCATACTTTTACATTTGTCGCATTCCACCCTGCAACAGTACACAAACTTGCAATTGCATTCTGAAATTATTTCAATTACCTTTTCACGGTATCCATAACAACATAGTTTTGAACAACTATTAGGCTGTGCATCGTCAAGGACACACTGCCTTCTGGAGGATTTATGAAATCCGTTTACAATTTTACACTGATCAGGGCCTTCATCTAGATAAAGAAGCTTTTCTGATTGAGAGAAGGGTATCTGAAATGTATTTTTAACGTCTTCTTTTACGTCATTTACGGGTAATCGTTTTAGTTTAGCAAATGCAGCTTCATCATACTTTTTTAAAAGAATCTTAGAAATCACGGGATATTCCTTAAGCCTTCGATGACAATACTTTGTGGTGCAGCCAGCTGTTGCCCCATTGCAAATACAAGCAATTTCCTCTCCTTGAGCTAACTCCTAAAATATGATCACAACAATATTTTTTAATACTCGTAATTATGTTACATTTATATTGTCATTAGCCATTTATTGACTAAAAAAAACTTTTTAATTAGTTAAAGAAACAAATTTAACCATTCAGGTTCGTAACTGTACCTTAAGCCCAAGATCAATGTTATGCTTTCGTATGGTGTAAGACTTTTCTTGGATTTCATTGGTAGCTTTTTCTCTAAAACCTAGCTTCATAAACAAGTTAGCAAATTCAACTCCTACTCGAGTAATGTCTTTACATCCAACCATGTTGTCAATATTGCTAAGATTTCTTGGATCAATCATTTCAGAAGGAAATGAAAATTGACGTGTTGTTTGAAAACAGGAACATTTATCAAGTTTTCCGGCCATACAACCACGGGCGATAGATAATGCTAGTGAAGAAGCTGCCAAAGAATGTAACAACGCTGATTCTTTTGTATCTATAATAAAATAACAAATACAAGCTGGTAAATTAGACAAATTTATATATATATAATGTAATACAATATATATATATATATATATATATATATATATATATATATATATATATATATATATATATATATATATATATATATATATATATATATATATATATATATATATATATATATATATATATATTGCAGCCGTAGCACAGTGGTTAGCGCGACTATAGCCGACTAAAGCAGCCGTAGCGCAGTGGTTAGCGCACTTGCCTCAGAAGCTAGAGATCTGTGGTTAAACGCCACATCTGAGCAAGTTTTATAACATCAGTAAGGAAGGACGCGCGAACTTCCTTTCAAATACTCTTTCGCGGTACTCTGTTAGCAAACGTATTTTTGGCGTCCCTACCAGTATAGTAATAGTATATATATATATATATATATATATATATATATTTTGTATAAATATATGCATCTAAGTTTTGTCACAACCAAAATGTCATTTTCTTTATTTTGCAGGAAAGTTATTTAAAACATTCTATATTTAGCACCATTGTCTTTTGTGATAATTTTGTAATAAAGATTAAATCCTCTTTGAAAAAAAAATTCTTTCATCATATTTTGATTTAGATTTTCGTTTAATGAAAAATTTAATTGAAAAAAAAGCTCATTACTCTTTGAATTATTGTATTTTTAAAAATCACCTTTTTTCAAATCATCGTCATATTCTGGAGCTTTGTTTACACTTTGACAGTTCCACCTTCTGTCTTTTAGCATGTCTTTGCACTCCTCTTTTGTGTCAGCTGTCGAAGCTTTTGTCAAAGACATCCATTCAAAGTTCGATCGACAAAAGCTAACTTGTCTGCCATTGAATCCAAAGTTTTTGCGACATACGTTATTTTGAGACCAAGATGAACTTGATGGGAACTGATCGACGCCCCTTTATAATAAGATTTACAAAAATTGAATGGTTAAAATCAGGTTAATCGCAAAAGTAATAACAAACCAATTAAAAGGAGTTTAATCAATGACAAAAACTTTAATTACTTTTTTTTATCTTTAATGAATTATGAAAACTCATAAAAAAAATTTTATTGTTATAACTCATTTTTTTTCTAATTATATTTTATTTTTATAATATTAGCATCTTAATGTTTAAAATAGTCAGTAAAACGGAAAAGTTGAAAATAGACGCTAATAAAATCAAAATATGCGTTTACTATTTTATCTTTAAAGTTTCAATTTTTTTTACTTAAGGATACTGTGCAAAACGTTTGAACTTTTAAACTCAACTAATATTGCAATGCTTCGCACTAATTTGCTATTACTCTTTACAACTTACTAAGATAACATGTACGCAAATTTAAATAAGCCTTACATAAGTATAAATGTTATGAATCTTAAAAAGATGGAAATATTTTTATTTATAATGAAATAAATTTTAAAGTTTTTGAGAAACAAATTATGTTTACACTAACAACTCAATTTATATTTAACAGTTTTTTATTTATAATTTACAATTTAACAGTTAATATATATATATATTTATATATATATATATATATATATATATATATATATATATATATATATATATATATATATATATATATATTTATATATATATATATATATATATATATATATATATATATATATATATATATATATATATATATATATATATATATATATATATATATATATATATATATATATACACATGTATGTGTGTTTATTTTCTTATGAGTGTAATGTATAAAAGTTATAATTTTATACCCTTAACATTATAAAAATTATAGGTTAATACAATATAAGTTAAGATTGTAATTCAACAATTTTAACTTATATTATTCTTAAAATACTTTTTTGTAACTTTACAACTTCTATTAAAACTCGTACTATAGTAAAACAAACACAAACACAAAAGTTAAAGAATTGTATGATTATTATTATTAATTTTAACTTTGCAAAACTTACAGCCATTTTATGTTTGCATAATTTATTCTAATTTCCATCAATATGATTAGATATATTGTAAAACCCATTGCGTAAAATAATCTGTTGCTTTCTCTATTAAATATTACTTTTCCACAATTCCTTACAAAGTCTTATATCTTTTACTTACTATCTCTAAATGAAAGCAAAAAGCAAATACATTTTTATGCATGATATGTACTCATACCGACTTTAGTCACGCAAATTAACATCACTGTGTATTTTCCGACAAAGCTCAACTGCTTTTGTCCCCGAAGATATATATTTGTTAGCGAAATAGCGTCGCGTTTGTTTTGCTTTCAATTGATCTTTTTTACGTAATTGCCGTATAAAAGAATTATTTCAAGAATTCCTCATCAAATAAAAAGCGTTCACATTTCGATAAAGTTACAATATCCGTCTCAAGACGATTCGATTTTTGCAATTTTAGCAATGGAGGATTAAATAAAATTTCGAATATTTAAAAAAAAAAAAAAAAAAAAACGTTAACAATTAAGCAATCATTTTAATGAATTTTCTGTTATAATTTTGCTTTAAATTAAAAGCAAAAAGAAACAAAACCATAATTAGAATTGTTTTAATTAAATCTAATTCGTAGTCTCCATTTTTAAGTAGAAGCCATCATATTTTAAATAAAATTGCATTTAAATTTTTTTTAATGCAGTAAAACACAAAGTTATAAAGTTTTATTTTTAATTATATATGGTGAATATGCTATTATTTTGAATAAACTTGCATAAAATAATTTTGGCGCGCCAGTTTGGCGTAGGATTCAAAGACTTTGTAGTTTACAAAAGGTAAAGTAAAACAAAATAATTCCATTAATTCAACTTTAGGTTTTATGATGTAAAAAACATCGCCAACAAATACTCGCACATAGTATATTTTGCAATAAAAGTCATGTACCTTAGTACGAAGAATAAAGAGTGTGTGATTTAGCAAACATGTGTTATATTTATTTATATTTTATTATATTATTTTGTACTTAACAAACTTTTGCTCAATAGATTAAATCGCTCCAGGAAAATAAAATAAATGTAGCAGAGATACAATTTAAAAAACACTCATCAGGTAAATGTTAGTGAAAAACATAAAATCGTTTTCATTTTGCAAAGTTTACGATAAAACTTTATATTGCCACAATCTTTAAAAATGGCTACACGATGTTTTTCGATGGCTACACGATGATTTTCGATGTTTTTCAACATCTAAATTATGTTTTTATGTTAATATTTTGATTAATTTTGCTTTAAAAATATAAATAACTTTTTAAGAATTCTTAATATATATATATATATATATATATATATATATATATATATATATATATATATATATATATATATATATGTATATATATATATATATATGTATATATATATATATATATGTATATATATATATATATATATATATATATATATATATATATTATATATATATATATATATATTTATATATATATATATATATATATATATATATATATATATATATATATATATATATATATATATATATATATATATATATATATATATATATAACAAATGCATTAATACGCGATGCTACTATGCTACTATTTAGGGTTTTAATTTTGATGCATCCAGTAAATTTTTTTTACAAAATTATCACATATAGACCTGTAATTAAAAAAAAGAAAGTTAAACTTTTGAACAGAAATCAAAGCTAATTACAAAATGGACATCGCATAAGTCATTAAAAGATTTGTTCAAAAACATAAACCTGTTATATGTTAAAAATAATATTAAATGCGACAAACTTAATATTAGAATTTGAAGAATCAAAATTTATAATAACCATATAAAATATCTTCACTTTCAATAATTTTTAAATAACTTTAAATTTTGATTGCTTTTATTTTCAATTTTTAAATTTGTTTACTTACTATTTTGATTTTATGAATTTGTTTTAAACAGGCCTAATCCTAATCCCAATCCAAATCACAAGATTTATCAAATGAAAACCTAAAATTTTTCAAATACATGTGTGACTATTAAATAAAGAATACTTATTAAAAAGAATAGTTGGGATAACTAAAAATTCATTCAGCTGGGATAGCCAAGTAAGAATACAAAAGTCAAGAAATAATTTTTTATTTTTTAAACTTTTATAAATTCACTTCAAAAATATTTACAAAAATTGACTTGTAAACCAAAAAGATTTAACAAACATATAAAAATGTTTTTAAAGAGTAAAAAAATTTAAAATAGATTTTATTTTTTATTTTTACAAATTTATAAAACAAATGATTTCTGACAAATACAAATTTTCTATTTTAATATATCGGTTTATAAGACTATTATATATAACATATAAGATAATATATTAAAAATTATATTTATGTATATATTTTTTATTTTTTTAATTTTTACAAAAATATAAAAAAAATGATTTCTGACAAATACAAATTTTCTATTTTAATATATCCGTAAATAAGACTATTATATATAGCATATAAGATAATCAATTAAAAATTATATATATGTTAAAGATATATATATATATATATATATATATATATATATATATATATATATATATATATATATATATATATATATATATATACATATATATATATATATATATATATATATATATATATATATATATATAAAATATATAAAAGATGTTTTTCATATTTATATAACATTAAATAAAGATTATGCATTTTGAAAAAATTAAGATCTATCTATAACTTCCGTTGAAGACGTCGGTGGCGCTTTTGGTCCGTTAATACTTTTAGGAAGTAAAAAGGAAAGCAAAAGTATTATTAAAGTAAAAAAAGCTATAGCAAAAAATGCAAGTCGATAGTCAATAGGAAATTTAACTTGATGATAAATATCATTGATAGACCATGCAAATAAACTACCAAACATAGTTGGTGAAGCCACTCTAAAAAAAAAACTAAAATTATATTTATTAAAAACAACCTACAATATTTAATAAAAGTTAAACATACATAAAAGTTAATTACCAATTTCTATAGTAAAAATAAAAACTTTAGAACGACACAAAAAAAAAATTGAAAAGATTTTAATATTTTACCTCATAATTTCTTGGACAGAGAACGCTAAACCGTTTACTCGTCCCACTTGGTCAGAGTACACAGAATTATTTATAAAAAGTGCAATGCACGATCGGCTGCTAATGTCAGCAATCATACGAAGTAAACCAACAAATATCAATAAAAACCACATAATGCCTTTACTATTATCGATAAAAAAATAATAATAATATTAATACATAATTCATAATAGTAATATGTATTCACATAAATGTGTATATATGCGTGTATAAATATATTGAAACAAAATTACTGTATTTATATTATTTGTTCTCTCTCTAAATGCTTTGCTCAAAGATTAGACTAGATTTTACATGCGGTTTTAACATATTTTTATGAGTCATAAAAAATTTTATTTTCAACATAATTCAAAATCACATACTTCCTTATGTTTTGTAATTTTTGTCATTTTTTAATGTAAGTGCAATTCTGCCGTATAAAAGCTCAATAACCAAAATAAAAATATTTGGAAAGTTGAAAAAAAGCCAAAACATTTAAAAGTTTATTTCGAAAATAAGTAAAAAAATGTGGTATCTTTTTCGGATAAAAATGCATATTTATTTAAAGAACTATATTTTTTATAAAAATAACTTTTAATAGCTTATGATAGTTTTGTGACTATTTTAAAGGATAATTTAACTCTATTGAGATAAGAAATAATTTTTTTGATATTGACTATAAACCAGTGGCGGATCCAGCATATTTTGGTCTTTAAGATAACTTTCAGATATGGAGCAAACTTCAAACATTTATACTTATGTCAAATAAGTATAAATTGTTTATACTTATGTCAAATAAGAATGCTTTGCAAAAAATTGCGATGGTTGGAGCCTGGGAACAAAAAAGACTCAAAATTTTCGCCCCCTTTTATCAAGTTGATAAAATATTTTTTGTACTGTTTTTAACTAGATTTATGTGTATCGATAAATTGTATGCTTCATAGTATAATATTTCAGCGTTCAAAAATAATGACCATGTAAAGTTTAAACCTCCTTAATTAGAGGGGGTTACAAACTATGACCATTACATGGTCATAATTTTTGAATTCTGAGACATAATACAATGAAACTTAATTTATTGATGAATATAAGTCTAATTGAGAATAGTACAAAAAATACTTAATCAACTTGTTGCTGTCACGTTTGGGGCAGGGAGGAGTAAAATTTGAGAGCTTTTTTGTTTCTAGACTCCAATCATCACAATTTTTTCCAAAGCATCCTTATTTGACATAAGTATAAACAAAACAAAATGCCACAAAAAATAAAATATAATTCAAATCAAATCAAACAAAATGTCACAAAATGTTGACACAAAGGCTGCTGCTAAAGAGTCAAAGAATATTTTGCTAGAAATTAAAAAATACAATGTACAAACAAATGTACAATCAGGCAACATATACAACTATGAAGCAAATCTGACTTATCACTCAGGGTCAAAAAAATTCTTGGTAAAGAGTGTTATTAAGTATCGCATAATTGTAAGAAACACTTTATATTTATATATATTTATATTATGATATCAATTAACACAGAAGGTGAAGTTCTACAAACTATCGTAGATTAAAAGATATAACTTGTGGATAGTCTGTATAGAGTGTGTAGCCTTAAAATCGTATACTTTAGCACTAAAGGAGGATTGTTTGATAGAATTGCTTTCAAGAAGTGTGCTTTTTTTTAAAAAGAAAATTTAAAAAAATTTTCTTTAAAAAAAAAAAAAATTTTTTCTGTTAGATAACTTTTCCCCTCCGAACTTTTATTGCCTGCTATATACATTAATTTATAGTATGTAAATCCAGTACAATATCGATAAAATTATTCCATTATTTAGAAAAGAAGTATCTTATGATAAAGAAGCTCTAGAAGACAACTTTAAGAATTTTTTTATAAGACAAATATAAATCTTTTTAATATGTTAAAAGTAATAAATGAAAAAAACTTTCTTGCGGGTAAAAGTGTTAGCACTGAAAATCTAAAAATATTTAATGAATGATATGACATCGTTTCTAAGGCTACTTATGTAACTTTAAAATGAAGGTTATGAGATTGCAGCTAAAAATGTTGCATAGTATAAAAATGCAAAATAAATTGAAATACTAACGGTATTTGTATTTATTTAGTCAAAAATACAATCTAAAGAAAATCTGAAAGAATGCATTGACTAAAGTTTGAAAGTATTTGGTTACATTGAAAATAAACTAAAAACAAAAAGAAAAAAAAAGAGAGAAGTCAAGCTCAAAAAATTGAATACTGTGTATCCAATTTTTTGAGCTTGACTCCCATACTGCTCTTTGCACATAACTGTGCAAATAGCAGTATGAGAGTTGATTGTTGTTATTTATGCAATTGAACTTATCTCCAAACAAATTACAACAGCATAGAAGTGGTCTAACATTCAAGAAATTTTTTTTTTTAAAACTGAATGTTTAATTTCCCATTGATTGAACCTCATAAAGCACGCAAATCAGAAAACCTAAACATTATTACTTTTTATCATTATTTTTTAAATTTTAAATCCCTCCCAACAAGGCTGCAAATAACTATTAAGTTGGGAGTTACTAAAAAAAGAAAAAAAGAATAGAGTTAAAGAGTAAAAAAATGGTTGACATAAGACTTAGAAAGTTGTAGGTTATATGAGTCAGGAAAACATAGAGATGGGAGAGAATTCTAAAGGGTTGAAGTGAAGTGAAAAAAAATTAGACAAATAAAATTTTTTCAAGCATGCAGATACAGTAAAAGAATGAGACTTTGCTAAATGAGTCAATGAGAATGAGTTTACTAAGTAGTTAAATTTATTTATATAGTTTAACTAGTTATTTATATATTATATAGTTTTTAGTTCATTTTACTCTTTAACTTGAATATTTTCATTACTCTTTCATCATAACTTTTTTACTTTTTTGATACATTTTAATCAATCTTCAAAAAGTAAGGAAGTTTACTTTGCACAAATCAAAATTGTAAAGTTAATTTTGCAAATATTGTGCAAAGTTATCTAAACCAAAGTAATTTTTTCTATTCTTCTTTTTAAAGAGATCCCTAACTTAAATAAATAATAATAAATAAAAAATAAATGCATGCCAAGAAAAATTAACTTTTTTTTTAGTCAAATCTTGCCTTCTCCATTTTGTTGTAGGCCAAATAGTCTCCATTATATACACCGCAATTTACAGACTTGATAATTAATTCAAGCATGTTTTTTTCCTAAGAGTTTTATTACATGAAGTCATACATTTTTTTGTTTGTTTCAATCATTGATCTTTTAATCAAACAAAAGAATCAATGACGTCAAAAACGCGCTAATATCTTTTTATAAAACGAACATAATGCTATATATTTATATTAATATATATATATATAAGAACACATGTCAACCGTACCACTTCTTTGATCGAATAGGGTTTCTGTACAGAGCCACCAATGAATCTAACAAGTCAACACCACCCATAAAAGAATTATGGAAGCTTCTTTTGTAGGTAGGACACCTGCATAGCTACTGAGCAGGATCAGCAGGATTTATTGTCCACCCATTTTACAGCATTTAGCTGAACACCATCATATGAGGTTGTTTTTAAAATTGCTGTACCTCTTCCAGATCTAGTAAGCTCTTTGTCTGTTGGGAATAAACATCCTTTCAAATGATTTGCTTGCACTGTTATTCCTTGTTTGTGCAGAGTTACTTGCAATGGAATGGAGGTGAACCAGTTATCAAAGTAAACTTTGTGCCAGACATCCCTAGGAATGTCTTGCAATAGTCTCAGAACCATGTTTCCAGAAGCTCCTATATCTGGTTTTCCTGGACAGGGGTGAACTTTACCATTATATATTTCTAAATTATGGATGAAGCTTTTGTTATCACAAAACACAATTATTTTGTAACCCCACTTCTTTGGTTTTTGGGATTGTATGTGCTTTAGGCTACTTCTACCTTAAAATGGTACTTTCTGCTCACCAACACTCAGCAGTTCAAATGACACAATGTTTTGGAAACTGTTTTCAAGTGAATCAAAAACAATCCTAACTTTATCTAATTAATTGGTGGCATTTTCATTGTTGTCAAAATGTAAATCATTTTTGATACACTCAAACCTATTGATGATCACAGTCTCTGTTACAGGTTTAATTTTGGTTGAAGGGCATCAATACATTCTGCACCGAGGAATTTTTATAGTGCGCATATAAAAAACAATTCCTAAAAAATTTTATAGTTCTACCTTTGTCAAACATAGCAAGTTATTTATAATTTTTTGTGCATTGTATACATTGGATTCGTGTACCATTTCTTCCAAAACATCTGTAAAAATGTCTCTGAAATAGAAACATTATCTGTAACAATGTCTCTGAAATAATCATATGGTTGTCTTAGCAAGCATCCATGTCTTACTTGACAAGTGAATTGGGGCACTTTGGTTGTCAATCTTTGGTATATAACACCTTTCAAAGGAGTCCTCAACTTGAACTGTGTAGCTATTCCTGTTCCTTTAAGTCATCGTTAGTCTCTTCTTCAACGTCAGATTTTGGTAGTTCTATAAAAAACAAAACAATAATTTTTTATCCTACTAGTACTAGTAAAACTTAAAAAAATAAATAAAGCTGTTAAAAAAACTGAAATAAGCTTAGTATATATTAGTGACATAAAAAATTACTTTCAATAACCTCTTTGAGTATGGATTCCTTATCTTGGATGCCGGTATCTTCATCAAATGGAGCATCTTTGTCTGACAGCTCTGAGTCGTGAGAGTAAGAAGGTATTTGCCTCACAGCATTAGCTCTTTTTTTTCCATTGAAGGTCTTTGGGTCCATAATTTAATCCAACATAAGAAACGAATAAAGTACCTTAGACTGATTTTTCACATAAACTATAAATATTACTATCATACTTTTACCATAAACTATATTTATTATTATCATACATTTTACATTTATATAAAAAAAGTATAAATAATAAACACGTTTAAAGGTGCATTTAAGACATATAAAATACGTAGTAATACATGTTTTAGACATTTTAAACACGCTTTGTATAATCTAACTATTTTTTTCCTACCGGGTATCAGCATAGCTTACTTTAATTAAAACTCTATCATGTATTAAATACTTTAATTAAAACTCTATCATGTTTTAAAAGTAACAAGCAAATACATAGAAAAGCGGTATTTGCATAGAAAAGAGGTATTTGCATAAAAAAGAGGTAGGCTTATTACTATTACTCTAATGCGAGTAGATCTAATCTAGAAAAAAAACATCAAGATTTTAATCGTGATGGCATGTTGTTGCAATTTTGCAACATACAAAAACAGAGCCGAGAGAAATATTAGGAAATGTTACATAATTGAATAGTCTTGATATATGATTCAACTTCTAGAAAATATTTTTTAAATGTGTTTAAATTTTTTAAACTTAATACTTAATATAATAATTCATTCAAAGTATACTTGCAGGTTTGACAGCGCAATGCTTGTTAAAATGTGAAATGAGATCAAATAAAGTTCAACACAAATGATTTCCTGTGTTGGTTTTGTAAAAAAACCACTACGGGAATATAGCGAAACAAAAAATTATAGAAAAATCCCAAAGAAAACATAAAAAGTCATCATTTTAAGTATTGTTGCAAAAATGCAACAAGATGCAATATAGGGTTAACTATAATAAAGGTTTAAAGCAGGTTTTTACAGACCTAAACCAAAAAAAAATGTCAATTTTTTTTTGCAAAATTATCCATTTTTACTGTGCATACAAGATTTTCAATCAGTGGTGATACTAATATTTGCACCTTTATATTTACTAATAATTTCAAACTAATTCTATTAACATAATACTAATTATGTTAATAGAACTATTAAATCAAACTAATTCTATTTATATAATTAAATAGTTTTATGAAGTATGTTTTTCCTTGTTATTTTGTTATGGTCTCAAAGTTACATTTAATTCTATTTATATAATTAAATACTAATTAAATAGTTAATTATAATAAATTTATTAAACTATAATATAATACATCTTTCAAAAAATGAAGATATAACTTAATTCTAAGTTTATATAAAACAGATAAAAATTATTATATTACATATAAAAAAAAAAAATCATATTTAAAAAATACACAAATTATGAAAAGAATATTCAAAACAAGTTTACCATTTAGACTTACTTTGAATGAAAAATTCGAATGAATGGAAACATAGCTGTAGTTGCAACAAGAATTAAAATTGTAGCTTGTAGTGTCTAAAATTATATAAATAATTTTTTACTAATCTGATAGAATACTGTATGCTATTTTACTTGTATATTTTAACATCATTTTCTGGTATCTGTTATATTTGTACAGCCAGTGCTGATTTCCGGAGTGTATGAGTGTGTGTTATTTAATGAGTGCATTTTGTTCACTGTACTATAAACTCTCCCCACTCCTAACATTTTTGCATTTAATCAATCGTATGCATTAGTAAACACAACCTATGTTGTCAAAGAAAATCTGAACTAAGTGCTAAATATGTACATTTTCAATATTTTTAAAAAACACATTTCCAAATTAAAATGTAATTGTTTCCTTTATTTCTTCTTAGGTTTTATTAAAGTCACCCATTATGGTAGTCAAAATAAACCATTAAAATTTATTTATTTAGTTTACAAAATAAAATAATAATATAATAAATACATTTACAATACAAATAATATTAATGCTAATATTTGTTTAATTTAAATTAACTGCAGATTTTAGCTTTACTCCATAATTTTTGTGTCATATGGCTTATTATTAGTTCATTAAAGTTTTTTTACACTTGTAAGGAACAGCTTTACTGCATTGTTTTGCATAGTTACCTAAGCTAATATTATTTTATTTTACAAAAGGAAGAAAGTGGCACACTAAAATATGTCCAAAGCTATTAAATCATTGTCAAAATGTATTTTGTATATTGTTGAAAACTAAAACATGAACTCTTGAAGTATTCAAGTTTTTTACCAGAATTTGTACCTAGTTCCCGACCAAAAACTGATGATTTTACTAATGAAAATGCAAACAATGAATTATTAGTAAAATACCAACTGTTGCTAAAGTAACATCCATAAATCAAAACATCTCTAAAACATCTAAAAGGGACATAAATCTTTAGAGTGTTTAAGAATGTTGGTAAAATCCATCTTTAAAACATCTGACAGGGACTTGACAAGGACTATCTATTAAGAATGACTTCTTGACAGGGACTATCTATTAAGATTGTTTTCTATTTAAACCTAAACTATGGTATCTTCTCGTTACTATGTAATTTGTTTTCAACCAGTTTTAAAAAGCTGGCCAAATGCATAAAAGCAAAGTACAATGTTTATCCATCATAATGTAAAGTTCAGGTGAAGAAAAAATGCATTCAAGAAAGGTTTTGTGATCATCTTCCAAGTAAATTAAATATTTACATAATTTTTATATTTTTGCATTTTCAATCATTTTTATCCATCACATACATAACAACATGTCTATGGAGCTCAATATTCTTAATTTCCCAATTTTAAGGGAGCATTCTCTTTTGCAATACAGACAGGCATATTTTTCAGAGTGCCTTGAAAGTCCAAAAACAGCTTCCACACTTTCGATTAAATGCCAGACTAAAAATTCTTCAAGTTTAAAAACTTTTAGTTATTTCAAATCTGAATTTCTCAATTATAAGAATATAACAACATTTCACACAAGAGTATTTATATATGTCAGATGAATAATGATTTTTTTGGGTCAAAAATATAAAAGATAACTTTTGAGAAATTTTGAACTCCATCTACAGATATTTTTACTAGTAAATTAAGATTATCAATAATTCCTGCTCAAAAAATAGAAAACAATTCGATTTTTTTATTTTTAGAGGGTTCTAATACATTTGATAGCTCCATAGTTGTTTGGAATAAGATCTGATTTACTTTCTTTCTTTACAACTTTTATTTCATTTGCACCATGAAGATTTCTATGCATAACATAAGAATATTTCCAAGTAACAAATAGAAGATTTCCATGCATAGATAACATGAACTGCTCTCTGCCTAAAATGCTTTTATGTTTTTCATTTAAACTATCCAAATGCTACTTAATGTGAACTTTTATCTTTTAGCTTTTCACTGATGTCTATGATAATGTTATAGTATATATAGATATTAATAAATTATATTTATATCTATGTACAAAGTATGTTACCGTATTCTACAAATGGAGCGCATGTTCTTAAAAAACAGAACAATAATAAATTAGTAACACTTATCTTATTTTTTCTTCTTTTGGAAGTTTTAATCTAATTTATTTCTTTAGAAAAAAAATATTAGATTGGTGTTTTTACTAATTTTTATATATATATATATATATATATATATATATATATATATATATATATATATATATATATATATATATATATATATATATATATATATATATATATATAAATTAATATTATATACTCTCTTAGTTAACTTTCTTCTGCAGTTGGGACAAACAACTGAGGGACAAACCTTAAGATCGAAATCCGAGTTTGGTCAAATGTATTCTTGAATTTTTTTGCGTACAAGGAATGTTATTGGCATTAGATATTTTGATCTATTATTTTAATTTGACAAGTACAAAAGTTAAACTTTGCTGTCATGTTGTGAACTACATCTAGAAAGCAGTGTTAAATAGATTAATTTAACTACCTAGTAGCTAAAAACTAGCTAATTTATTAAAACGTTTAAAAAAAAGCAAAAAAATATTTGTTTATATTTATATATTTTAAAAATATAAACATTTAGCACTTAGTTCAGATTTTTTTTGACAACATAATCAGTTATATAATATTGTATATAACTGATTAAATGCAATATTATCAGGAGTGGAGAGAGTTTTAAATTTGTTGCCAATTTAGAGAACAGTGTGTTAATAAATAATTTATCAGACTTAACTTATTAGTTACTTAAGTTATGTTTAAGACACTAACCAATCATATTTGTAATACTTTATTCACTAACAAATCATGATTGTAATACTTTATTCACTAACAAATCATGATTGTAATACTTTTTTTATTAAACAATCGCGATTGTAACACTTTATTTAGTTGTTACTTATGTTAGCTATGTTTATGACAGTAAACAAAAATAAAATGGTGTAGAGTATCTTTAATAAGGCACCAGATCTTTCCAGGTCCTAAAAATAGGTGCTATGTCTTAGACACAGTCATTTTAAAGACTTATTTTTTTCAATGTTATATTTCTCATTTAAAAAAAAAATAATAATTCAAAACTTTACCAAAATGCCACCAAATCGTCTTTCAAGCTAAAATAAGTAAAAAAATACTAATTACACTGCTTTTTAGAATTTTATTAGGGAAACAAACTCATATCAAATCAACCACTTCAAACATCAATGCCTTTTTTTTTAAAGCTGTGTAGATAGATTAACTCTATAAATATAAAACCTTTTACATTAATAATTATTTAAGCCGCACCGACTTCATATTTAAGCCGACATTCATATTTAAGCCGCACTGACTTCATTTTACTTTATTTAATTACTTAAATGAAAATTTGACTGAAAATACAAAATAAAACACAATTTAAAAATTTACTTAAATGAAAATTTAACTGAAAATACAAAATAAAACACAATTTAAAAATGTTAGTTTACTAATTATTACTAGTTAGTTTACTAATTATTTACTAGTTAAATAAAATAAAAGGTTTGTAAAAAAGTATTAATGCATAATTTAATAAGAATTTATTGCAAACTGTAACTTATTTAAAACCACTACATATAACATTTTTTATTAACACATGAATAAAAAATGTAATTTGTAAACTTGTATTTGTAAGAATATATTGGGATTATAAAAATATTTTGTTGTGCTTACCCTGCTTTAAAATAAGCAAACACAACCTTATAACACCACTGTTTTCAAGGTTTTTTTTGCTTCTTTATAAAACAAACAAACTTTTACAAAATTTTTGCTCACTTTTTGTTGTTTTTATAAAATTTACAGTGAAAAACAGTCATTATTATAATTATCAAAACAATTATTGTTAGCATGGAGATATTAGTATATGTGTGAGTTTTTGTCTCTCCTGTGGCACCAATCACTTGCCATGTCAAAACATGATTGAACACTACAAGAGAGATTTTCACTACAGAAGACCAACTGTTTTGACCTAAACATTAACATATTGCATCAAAAAGTTCCCAATATTATTTTTTCATTAAATGGAACCAAATAAAAGGTTGAGAGTATAAGAAAGAATTTTTTTTTTCTTTTTAATGCATTTATTTGTCACTGTAATATATATATATATATATATATATATATATATATATATATATATATATATATATATATATATATATATATATATATATATATATATAAGAAATACACTCACATAATAATTTAAAAAAATGAATTAAAAATAAATAAAAATTACCCTTGAAAATAGAATAGGCTGTAGTACAACTGATAAAACAGCAGGTACCAATAATGCAATACCAATTTTATCAGTATCAAAAGATAGACCACCTATAAAAAGTGAGTTGAATTTAAATATATATATAAACAATTTTGTAACTGACAAAACTGCGAACCAAGCATAACAATAAATATGAAGAACTTTTTAAAAAAATTAAAAACATACCATAGTTTAAGCTTGTAGCCATCCATAATGCTGAAAGTTCTGAAAAACCAATAATGCAAAATCCTGATATGCCAAACATGATAATAATCAACACCACATATTTGTCACTGATAAAGGAAAAATCATAAAAACACACTGATATATTAGAACAAAAAAAACCATATAAAAAAATAATAAAAACACGTTGGTATTGAACAAAACTTAAAACACAATGATATTGAAGGACACATAAATATACAATGATAAAGAACAAATAAAATATGCAGATAAAGAACAAAAACACATATACATATTGATAAAAACACATTTAAGAAACACAATAGTAAATAAAATTTATCTTAATTACTTTAAAAGAAAAAATTTATTAAATTTGAAAAACATTAAAGATTTCATTAGTTTAGTATTTTTTATAAAATTAACAATTTTAGATAACAACATTTTTCTATTAAAAAATACCTGCAGAGCTCCACAATCGACCATTTTTTTATATTACAACATTTTTGATCAGTTTGACTTTTTTCAACTTTTTTTTTATTCAAACTATTAATCTCAGTCATTTCTTCAGATAAAAGACCTTGAGATTCCTGCATCTTTGTGTCATCTAACAAGTCTGCCCTAAAATATGTAGTTAAATCATCAAAATAAAAATAATACTATTCATATGGTTTTTAGAAAACATTAAGAAGTTTTTTTTATATTTTTATGTTAATATTTATTATTTTATTTGGTTATATATATATATATATATATATATATATATATATATATATATATATATATATATATATATATATATATATATATATATATATATATATATATATATATATATTGTATTTATGATGTATGCAACATGTGGTATAATAACTATTGCACTCTGTTTAACTTAGTCACTTTTTGGTGCACTTCTGGGACAAGACTGTTAAGTCTTGTCCCAGAGTGCCGCTGAAGAGCACCTAAATAACAACAAAAAAAATGCAATATAGGAAGATTACAGTGTTTAAATGTAAAGGTATCACACCTCTACATTTAAACACTGTAATCTTCCTAAGGATGATGCCCATCTTATCACTCCGGATGAAGTCCAATCTATGATAAATCATATGACCTGTGGAAAAGCAGTTAACCATTTTAGACTTCAGTTGGAACATTATCTCTATGCTAGCTCGAATTATTTTAATATATTATCATTGTGTTTTTCCCCTATTCTTTGCCATGGACACATGCCTATTGGTGCCTCATACTCTGTTTTTTCTCCTGTGATAAAAGATAAAAATGGTGACACCTCCAAATCTGCTAATTATCGTCCAATTGTTTCAGTTAGAATTTTCTCCAAGATTCTATAACATATTTTTGTCTCATGTGTTAATGAAAGTTTCATTGGGACTCCCAATCAATTCGGATTTAAGAAAAACCATAGCACTTTTATGCCTTTTCTTATTTTAAAAGATATTTTAAACTTTTACCTGTCTTATGGCTCAAATATGCATGTAGCATGGATTGACATTAGTAAAGCCTTTGATAGAGTTTGCTTAGACACACTATTTATGAAACTTTCAACAATTATCTCTGGTGTAACTTTACGCTTAACTCATTGTCTAGTATGCTGGTCTAACAGCTCAGATCTTATGGGATGGCATATTATCCAAAACATTAACCGCCAGTAATGGAGTGCAACAATGTTTCCTCTGCTATTTAATATATATATATATATATATATATATATATATATATATATATATATATATATATATATATATATATATATATATATATATATATATATATATATATATATAGGCTTTCACAGGAAGACGTGCGATTTCATGTCTTTATATGACCACGCAAAATAAAAATGTTTTAACGATTTGACCCCGACATACTTTTAAAATTTAAAAACGCGCTACAAAAACTTACCTAAACTTACCTGAAAAAAAATTAAAAAAAAAAAAATATTAACGAAAGAGAAAATAAAAAAAAATACTTAGTTTAAGCAAAAACACAAATATATATATATATATATATATATATATATATATATATACATATATATATATATATATATATATATATATATATATATATATATATATATATATATATATATATATATATATATATATATATATATATACATATATATAACGCAACTAAAACAAAACTCATCAAACTAATATGCCTAGTCTATTTAAATTACGCATTAAAAAACCTTTTCAATCTTTGTTTCAACATTTTTATAAATTTTTTATTTGTTTAATAAGTTCAAAAGTTAAATGTTTCTCATAAAAAATACATAGTTATATAAATAAAATAAAAAAACATTTTATAAATACTTTTTTTTTTAATTAATAAGAAGTGTTTTTTTTTTACTTCATTAAAAGCGTTTCGATAATATAAAAGCATTTAAGATCAAACTTATTAAATTGTAACGGTTTTATAAAATTTTTTCTTTAACAAAATATTGTTTATCTTTTTAAATGCATTAACTTTAATCATTCTTATATTTAAATTCGTTAAAGAGATTTTCGTAGTCGTAGAATGTCATCGTTTATAAAAACATTACAATTTTTTATTTTTTAATAAGATTTATTTTAGAAATGAACACTTAAACAATTTATATGTTTTAAATTAAAAAAATATATACAACTGTCAATTATATTTAAAAAACAAAACTTTTTTTCAGTCAATTGTTACTTTATTTAAAATTGTTTCACTAATATAAAAACATTTGTTAAGAAGTTTTGAAGTAATTAATTTCACTTTTTTAGAATATTTTTTATTTAGCGCATTTCTAAAATGTTTTTTGAATTAGCCGCGGTCAAACCGTCATAGCAAAATGTAACTTGCATGGTCATATAAAGACATGAAATCGCACGTCTTCCTGTGAAAGCCTGATATATATATTAATGATCTTAGTGTTGTACTTAATAAAACTACCACAGGCTACTGTTTGGGTCCTTCATTCATTAACCATCTTCTTTATGCTGATGATATTGTCCTGTGTGCACCATCAGCTAGAGGTCTCCAGATCTTACTTGATTTATGCTCTGGGTATGCTGTGAAACATGATAAAGCTTATATCAATATTAAGTCTCAAATAATGTGTTTTAAAAGTTATGAACCCCTTGTAAATAGCACTTGTTTCTCACTATCTAACATGATTTTCACATACACTACACAATATAAATGTAAGAAACAATATTCATGATTGTAAGAAACAATATTCATGATTGCTACTGCTGCAGAATTGTGAGAACCTCATCATAAAAGCTTTTGTTAACTCTGACAAGCTCTTGCAGTCTTCATTGATGTTTAAATAGAGAGCTGAGTTATATTTATAACATGAAATTTTTTTTTTTTTTTTTTGAGTTTTGTATATATATATATATATATATATATATATATATATATATATATATATATATATATATATATATATATATATATATATATATATATATATATATATATATATATATATGTATATATATATATATATACAATTTTTATATATATATGTATTTTTTTGAGTTTTATATATATATATATATATATATATATATATATTATATATATATATATATATATATATATATATATATATATATATATATATATATATATATTTGATAGATTCTATCTGTTGACCAGCCTCGCACCCCTTCTTCATCTATAAGGCTGGCACAGATGTATTTTTAATACATTGTTTCCAGTTTAGGATGTTGAACGCTAGATCTTCTTGACTCAATTCATGGGTTTTGCTTTTGTCTCTGTTTTGATGACTAGGCAACTCATTCTATTATCTCCAAATGAGGTTGCAGCTCTAAAACTCAGTTTTATGGTTCTGAGGCCGGCTGGTAGTCAGGTTTCCCAAACTCTGTGATAGCTCTCAGAGAGGCTGATTCCATCAGCTGAAAAATATGAGTACTAACAGTGCCATGTTGCGCATGGATGGTGTCCCTGTTTGTACTTTTGGTGTGCATTGCCAAGGCCACATTGGAGCCCTTTGTTATGGCTTAGGGTTTATTAATGGAAATATTTTGAGGCAATTGCTTGGGCTATAGAACAGTGTACTGAGTACTATCTATGTTTCGAGTCAAGTTCTTTAACAAATTTAAAAATGAATAAAGTAACAAAAACTATAAAACACAAAAAACCACAGTCATCACCAAATTTGCTAAACCTATCATTCACCAATATTCGTGGTCTTGGAAGTAACTTTTCTTCTGTTGAGTCTTATCTCTTGCAAAGTTCACCAGACCTACTTGCTCTTTGTGAGACTAATTTGAGTTCAGCTGTCTCATCTTGTGATCTTAGTGTTGGTGGTTATCTTCCTTTAATTCGTAAAGACTCCAATAGTCACATGCTTGGCCTGGGCATTTACATTCGTAAGAATTCACCCATTTGTCGGGAAACTAGGTTTGAATCCACAGACTACTCTTTTATGTGCTTTCGTTTAGCACCACTTCACTCTATCAGCTTTCTCTTTGTTCTATATCGCTCTCCCTCATCTCAAGACTGCACTCTTCTTGATGTTTTGATTTCTGATTATATTGGCCAAGCCCTCTCTCTTTATCCATCAGCCAATATTGTTGTTGTCGGTGACTTTATTGTTCATCACACTGAATGGCTTGGCTCTAGTGCTAGTGACTCTGCAGGCATTAAGGCCCACAACTTTTGTCTTTCTCAATCCCTAACTGAAATAGTCAACTTTCCAACTCGCTTTCCAGACAACCCGAATCATTTACCTTCTCTACTTGACTTATGCCTTGCTTCTGATCCTAGTCAGTGCTCAGTTTCTTCACACTCACCCTTAGGTGCTTCTGATCATGGTTTGGTCTCTCTAAAACTATTATCTCATGCTTCTTTACCATCAGAATCCCCCTATCATCGTACATCTTACAACTACCTTAAAGCTGACTGGGACTCTCTCCGTTACTTTCTTTGTGATAGCCCCTGGGTAGAAATCTTTCGTCTCCCTGTTGACAAATGTGCTTCTTACATAACTTCGTGGATTCAGGCTGGCATGGAATCCTTTATTCCCTCTCTATGATTCCAGGTCAAGCCTCACTCTTCTCCATGGTTTTCCTCACATTGTGCTGCTGCAATTGCCAATCGAAACTATTACTTCCATGTCTATCAGCAAAACAGTTCTCCAGAAAACAGACGTCTGTTTATTACTGCTAGGACCCATTGTAAAAAGGTTTTGTCTAATGCCAAAACCCGCTATTCTCAGATCATGAAATCTCGTATTTCATCACAAAAATTAGGCTCTCGTGACTTCTGGAGAATCTTTAATAGTATTAATAATAAGGGCAAGTCTGTAATTCCACCTCTTTTGTATGGTTCAAACTTTGTCACCTCACCTAAAGACAAATCTGAATTGTTTGCCAAGAACTTTTCATCAATATCATCTCTTGATGCCACTAGTTGCGTTCTACCTGATATAGCCGTCAAACAGGTTGATTTATTGCTCGACATTCATATCACTCCAGCTTCTGTATCTAAAGTGATTTCCCGCTTAGACTCTTCTACAGCTTGCGGCCCGGACAACATACTTGTTAAATTCTTGCAGAAGTGTTCTCCAGAGCTGTCGTCTATCCTTTCAAAACTAT